TTGAGTGCGAAACGTCACCCACCAAATCTTTGACCTCTATTTCCACCAAGGAGGAATGCATTTTTCAAAAAGTGTGAAACACCCCTTTAATGAATTTAAAAATAGATCGTTAAATATGAATTTGGGGCCGATCGGATGGTAAACAAAAAACTTTCATACAACCGTTTTCCGCCAATTTACCACTGTTGCGGGTGGAATTTTCCAAATCGCTGAAATACGTACTTATTAAGTTCTTATAAAGAGCTTTAAAAATAAGTTTGAAGCAAATCGGACACAACTTAAAACGCCGCCCAAAAAATCTTTAAATCGCATTCCCCCCGAAGAAGTTTGAATTCTGCGAAAAGTAAGAAACACGTCTCAAATGATTTTTCATATAGATCACTGGAAATGAATTTGAGCGCGAAACGTCACCCACCAAATCTTTGACCTCCATTTCCAACAAGGAAGAACGTATTTTTCGAAAAGTGTGAAACACCCCTCAAATGAATTTGAACAAAGATCTTTGAAAATAAGTTTGAGGCCAATCCGATGGTAAACAAAAAAGTTACATACAAACGTTTTTCGCGATTTTTCCACACTTGCGGGTGGAATTTTCCGAAACCCCGTCTTAACGTGCACCTACATCACATAAGGTAGCTACAGTGAAAATTTCAGCTTCCTAGCTCTTACGGTTTGGGCTGTGCGTTGATCACCAATCAGTCAGTCAGTCAGTCAGTCAGTCAGTCAGTCAGTCAGGACAAACAGTTTTATATATAGAGATTTGAGGGTACCATTTTCACATGAATTTCGACCAAAAATTTGTTGCCAGATTTTGATGCCAAATTGATCTAGAGGCCAAAACATGAACAAAAAGCCAAACCTTATGAAAATCGGATGAGATTTGACCGAGTTATGGGGGTGGGAAATTTCGCCCTATGACTATATAAGATATTTGAGGGTACCATTTTCACATGAATTTCGGCCAAAAATATTTTTGCCAGCTTTTGATGCCAAATTGATCTAGAGGCCAAAACATGGACAAAAAGCCAAACCTTTTGAAAATCGGATGAGATTTGACCGAGTTATGGGGGTGGGAAATTTCGCCCTATGTCTATATTGGATATTTGAGGGTACCGTTTTCACTTGAATTTCGACCAAAATATTTTGGCCAGCTTTTGGTGCCAAATTGATCTAGAGGCCAAAACATGGACAAAAAGCCAAACCTTATGAAAATCGGATGAGATTTGACCGAGTTATGGGGGTGGGAAATTTCGCCCTATGACTATATAAGATATTTGAGGGTACCGTTTTCACTTGAATTTCGACCAAAAATATTTTTGCCAGCTTTTGATGCCAAATTGATCTAGAGGCCAAAACATGGACAAAAAGCCAAACCTTTTGAAAATCGGATGAGATTTGACCGAGTTATGGGGGTGGGAAATTTCGCCCTATGACTATATTGGATATTTGAGGGTACCGTTTTCACATGAATTTCGACCAAAAATATTTTTGCCAGCTTTTGATGCCAAATTGATCTAGAGGCCAAAACATGGACAAAACGCCAAACCTTTTGAAAATCGGATGAGATTTGACCGAGTTAGGGGGGTGGGAAATTTCGCCCTATGACTATATAAGATATTTGAGGGTACCATTTTCACATGAATTTCGGCCAAAAATATTTTTGCCAGCTTTTGATGCCAAATTGATCTAGAGGCCAAAACATGGTCAAAAAGCCAAACCTTATGAAAATCGGATGAGATTTGACCGAGATATGGGGTTGGGAAATTTTGACCTATGTCTATAGTGGATATTTGAGGTTACGATTTTCACATTAATTTCGAACAAGAATAATGTTGTCAGTTATGGGTGTGGGAAATTTTGACCATAAAAATTGTAATACCCTTTTGTTTATCTTAATTGAAATCTCCCAGCACCTGGAACGTCTTTTCGATGAATCCGACTTGGGCGTCATCTACATCAGCTGGGGCTCCATGGTGAATCCCAGCACTCTGCCTGCAGGCAAGCTGCAGGCGCTCTTCGATACCATCTCCCAGCTGCCCGACTACACTTTCGTGATGCGCTGGACAAACCAGACGCTGGCCGAGAATAAGCCCAATAATCTGCACACCTACGAGTGGCTGCCCCAACGGGATCTGCTGTGTCATCCCAAGGTAAAGGCTTTCGTCTCACATGGCGGTCTACTGGGCACCACGGAATCGATTTATTGTGCTGTTCCCATGCTCGTAACGCCCTTCTATGGGGATCAGTTTCTGAATGCCGGCGCCGTTGTGCAGCGCCGCTTTGGTGTCATTGTAGAATTTGGAGATTTCGACGAGCCTCATCTTACCCAGGCGCTACGCACCATATTGCAAGAGGGGTAAGTTAAAATATACATCTAGAGATTTTTTGGTACACTCAGAAAAAAAAAGACTTCTACTACTCTATTGAAATACAAATGTATTGAGAATCAATTTATTTATATAGTTTTGAATCCGGTTCAAGAAAAAATTCTTTTTTTTTTACTTTATTTGAGTTCAAAAATTCCCTAATTCAAGACTTCATTATGGTTCTCAACTAAAGACATGTTTTACTTGCATTGACAACGTTTCAAGTATGAAATTTCTCTTAAAAAGAGATTTTTTCTTAACTTTTGCGTTTCTATATTGAAATCAAGGTTTAAGCTGGTTCGAATTTAGTTTATTGCACCCTAAGAATGCAATATTATTTAAAAATAAAATTTGAGGAAGAGCTTCAAAATATGATTGATACTAGTCCCATTAATTGGATGAATATTCAAATATTCAAACCGTGAATTTTTTGAGAGTTTCACACTTATTCGAGCACGTATATGAATATACTGTATATACCTCATTCGTCCCCTAAAACTTTACGAATTCGTATTATATATATCATATATCATCCCTCCCTCAAAACTTAACGAATTCTTACTATATGTATATACTATATGTATATCCCTCATTGCATCTAGAACATCGTTTTTCTCCGAGTGTATACACATACATATATACCATAAAATAACTGTTACTCCTTCCAGCTTTGCAGCTGAGATGAAACGCTCGACCATCGCCTTCCGGGAGCGACCCCAGGAGCCGCTGCAACTGGCGATCTGGTGGATCGAGCACGTGATCGCCACAAGTGGGGCCCCACTCTCGCAGAGCGTGGCAAGACATATCAATTGGTTTGTCTATAACTCGATCGATGTTTATGTGTGCTGCCTGCTGATCGCAGTGCTCGGTCTCAGCGGCGTCTGGAAATTTTGTAATCTCTTGAAATGGATCTGGGGCAGGCGTATTGCTCACACGCAACCCAAAACCAAGCAACAATAAATATCGCATGACGTACTCGTGATCACTGTAAATACTCGTGTTTCCATTTGCCCCATAAAACTTATCAATTTCACGATGAGAGCTACTTAATTCGATTAGACATTTGCTGAACAAACGTGAATCGCTAGACAAGAGCTGAGTTTCGTGTCGGAAAAAGCTATAATTTGCGGCCTACCTCAAAAAATTGCACGTTTCATTAATAGGCACTTTGTTAGATGATAATGGAATTTTGTTCGTCAATTAGAATATGCACTATCTTTGGAACTTTAAACTATACCCTGCCAGAGGATATTATAAATTTGTCATTAAATTTGTAACGCATGGACCGAGATCCTACAGCTTATATTTTTAGAGCATACAGAAAAGTTTTTTTTACATATTTTTCCCAGACTTATAACGTAGAAGAAAATATCGGACTATAAAACAAACTCACCAACTACAAGATTCACTTTACTTCCTATATCTTAAGAAACACCTTTTAGCATCAGACTGATATTATATACATTAAATATTTGTTTTTTAAGATATGTGCACCAAACTATTATATAATATCGAAGATATCCGCACGAAGTATGCTCAATTTACGCAAGAGCATAAAATATTCTTCAAAGATAACTGTTCTTATGCGTCTGTAAATTTTTCCGTTAGGCGTTTACACATCTGTGTACCCATTCCACCATACCCTGTATACACTTCTTATCAGTTACAAATATGCTGACTAACGGAAAATGTCACCTGTAAAAAGTCATTAAATCGAACATTTTTTAATATCACGCCAGGCAACAGGCAAATACAGTACAGAAAACAAAATTAAGTACAGTAAACAATATTTATCAGCGACACCAACTTGTTACCAGACAGTAGCCAGCCATCACGTTTCCTGTGCTTGACTGTATAAAAATTTATAACCGATAAGGCGTAAGGCTAAATAATAAAATTTGTTTGTTTATTCGTCTCGTGCAGCTCAGGTTGTAGCACCCAAATATATATATAAAGGCAAAGCTTCTCAAGGTGAGTGTCTTCACATATGAAAATGTGCGCAAAAAAGGGAAGTAAAAACGTTGACAGCGAACGACTGCGCAATACCCTGTGTATACCGTAAAGTGCTGCCGCTTCTTCGACACCTACTTTAAAGTAGTAAAAAATATTGAACACAACTTTAGGAACGCGAATTGTATGCATATATATTTCATATTTTAAATATATAACATCCATAATTGCCTAACGCCCGAACACTGCGCAAAACCAATATGCTCTAGTAAACTTTGTCAACGGGGTATAACAACTGCTTGCATGCATGTGTGTGTTGCTGACTCTGCAAATTTTGATGAGAGCATTTAAGCTCAAAAAAAAGCAGTGCAAAACGACGTTTACGCATAAACTGTGCAAGTAAAAGAGAGAGAACGAGAGAGAGCAGAAAGCAGCCAAATCGGCGTCGATCAACAATCATGCACAATTATGCGCTCAATTTTCGACAAGCATTTAAGTTTCGGCGTTTACGCAAGCAGTGTGTGAGCAAAAGAGAATAGAAATTAATGTGAAATCATAGTCGATCACCAATACATGCACAAATGCACGCTCATTTTTTTTGGGCAAGACGGCAGCAGCGCAGTCAGCAGCGACTTTTCGGCTACGCTGTCGCAACAAATAAACGGTGTTTGTCAGTCGCTCGACGATAGCGAAGCGCGCAGCAATCGTTTGTCCCGTGTTTGCCGCTTCGATAGCTGGCATTTAATTGAGCTTCGCATTTCTAGTGAATTTGAGTGCTGCTCAATTCGCAGCCGCAATTAGCGTCATTTCGCCACAGCTTTGGTAAGTTAACGTTTTACAGCAATTTGTGCGTCTTCTTTGCCATTTTACACCGCAATTATTTACATAATTGTTGTGCCATGCGCAGAGCGAAATGCACCCAAGGTCAAGAATTTGCAACAATTGAATGCAACAAGTGTTATTTTACGAACTGTTCGATTTTTTTCGATTTGTTTTTCTAATTTTAATTTATGCTACGCATGCCAACAGAGACAATGCTGCTGCTCCGTTCGCTGCTGGCAGCGCTGCTGACGCTGCTGTGCGTTCAAGTGGACGCCGGCCGCCCGCTGAAAGTTCTCGGCCTGTTCCCGCATCCCGGCGTCAGCCATTTTCACTTCTTTCAGCCCATAATGCACGCCTTGGCCGAAGCCGGACACGATGTCAGCGTGGTTAGCCATTTTCCGGCTAAAAACCCGCCCATACGCTACAAGGATTTTCCGCTAACGGGCACGGACAAGCTAACAAACAGCGTGGACTTGAAGGTGAGCAACTCGATGGGGATTTGTTAGGGGTATTCAGGCAAACTTTAGCCAAATGTTAACAATCTGTTCTGAGAAGTGCGGGCATACCCCTAACATTGCTCAGGGATGCCCTCAAGGTATTCACAAAACAATTGTCTGAGACTTGCTTTCACTTTCATTATGATTTATACGTATTGCAAAATGATTAAGCTTTATAATAATATAGGTGTATATAATATAATATAGTGGAAATGAGTGTGGTGAATATATTATGAATATGCCACAATCGCATGTTTATTTAAATTAATTTTTTTTTTCTTTTAAATCGACAAAAATCTATTTAATGCTCGGACTTTATAACTGATAGCATCAGCAATTTTAGCATCGGTTCTCGTCAAATAATTTATGCCATGTAATACTCCCCCATTTTCCGACAAAATCGGTGAACATATTTCTAGAACCCAAGTTTTGTATGCTTATTCGAAAATGATAAAGAGCTAAGAGTACATAATTTTTTATGTAGGCCCTCGTAGATAAGCTATATTTAACTTATTGGACCCCAAGTGGGAAACCAAAAATTTCCTATGATTTTTTTTTTTGTAAAGGCACATGTTTGAATGCTATTTTTAATTTCCAAAAATTTTTCCCAGCATTATGACAACAAGCACAAAAGTTGCGCCTTGGCTTGGTCAATATGTGTTTTTTTTTTTTTTAATTTTTTTAATTTTAGTATTATGGTATTAATAAAATAAAAGTAATCTACTTACCTTATTCTCCTGCGAGTGAATAAATATTTATCCAAAGTACATAATGCCATTCAGGTACTTTTTACAGGATAGCTCATAGTCGTGCATTTGCTGTTATCTCTTTTGTCTAGCTGAGCATTCGCCAATTTATCATCAAAAACCTGAAAGCAAAAAAAAAACTGTGTCAAGCGAAAGTAAACTCCGGTTCAAGTAATTCTGTCTCTCTCACACACACTCTTTCTCTCTCTCTCTCTCACACACACACTTTTTCAGTTCTTCGAGAAGCGACCTTTCTACAATCATTTCGTTGAGTTCTTTATGCTGCACGAGTGGGGCAAACAGGCTTGCAACGTGACGCTGCGCTCGGAGGCCTTGCAGACGGTGCTCAAGCGTAAGGCTGGCTACTATGACGTCATCGTTCTGGAACAGTTCAATACGGACTGCATGATGGGCGTGGCACATCAGCTGCAGGCACCAGTTGTCGCCCTGAGCAGCTGCGCCATGATGCCCTGGCACTACGAACGGATGGGCGCCCCAATAATACCCTCCTATTTGCCAGCTTTATTCATGGGTCAATCGCAGGACATGAACTTTGGCGGCCGTTTGGCCAACTGGTTCAGTTTCCATACACTCAACTGGTTATACAAGTAGGTATTTTTTAGAGCGCTGCAACGCACTCGGATACTCAATCGAAATAAACGAATAACGAGGGACTATTTACCAAACCTGGTAGATATTCAAGCAAACCAAGTTCGTCCTGCTCGAGTCTGCAACATGTTCGAGCTAACCGTTAAAATAACCGTTAACTCAAACACAATCAGTTCGAAGCGAGTTCGAAGTGAGTTCGAAGCGAGTTCGTCGCGAGCTCGAGTCAGTACGAAGCGAGCTCGCATCAATTCGAGCTTACTTGTTCGTCCTACTCAATCGTCTGTTTGCAACTCGAATAGCTCGAGCCTTAAAATTTTGAGTAATGAGTATCTCAGACACGTTGCGATGCAGGGCTCTATTCGCTGGGGAACTATTCACGACTAATCGCACTGCATTTCAGACTCATCACCATACCCGCTGCGGATGCGATGGTGCAGTACAAATTTGGCCACGATGTGCCCTCGGTGGGTGAGCTGGTGAAGAATACGTCCGTCTTCTTTGTGAATCAACACTATTCGCTGAGCGGTGCGAAGCCGTTGCCGCCGAACGTCATCGAGCTGGGCGGCCTGCACATCCAGAAGGCCAATCCGCTGAGCGCCGACCTGCAGCGTCTGCTGGACAGTGCCGAGCACGGCGTCATACTCATCAGCTGGGGCTCCATGATACGCGCCAATTCGCTGTCGCCGGAGAAGCGCGACGGAATTGTGCGCGCCGTTGCCCGACTGAAGCAGCAGGTCATCTGGAAGTGGGAGAACGAGACGCTGTCCAATATGCCGCCAAATATGCACATTATGAAGTGGCTGCCACAGCGCGATATACTCTGCCATCCCAATGTCAAGGTGTTCATGACCCATGCCGGCCTCATGGGCAGCTCCGAGGCGGCCTATTGTGGTGTGCCCGTTGTGGCCACGCCCATGTATGGTGATCAGTTCCTAAATGCGGCCGCCCTCGTGCAGCGTAACATGGGCGTGCTGCTGCACTACGAGGACATTGGCGAGAATACCGTGCTGAAGGCCCTGAAGCGTGCTCTGGACAAGAAGTGAGTCGAGTATCCCAAATTTGGGCAGGACAGGCAGGGGAAGACATCTACGAACTCATTTAAATGTATACAAGATCAATAGTCGAGTCAATCCACAGCCACGTCCGTCCATGTCTGTACATCTGTATTAACAGACTGATCTCTCAGCCCATAAGAGCTGGAGTCCTTTGGGAACACAGAGTTTTCTATGCCATGTCATGACAGCTGCCTACAGGGCATCGCCTAGTCGGTCAATCTCGACTAGTTCACACTTACCATTTGATTTATTTATTATTTCCTCCTTGCAGGCACGCGGATGCTGCCAAGCTGGTCGCGCACTCATTCAAGCACAGGCCGCAGCAGGCGCTGCAGACGGCCCTCTGGTGGGTGGAGCATGTGGGTCACACGGGCGGCAATCCGCTGCTGAAATCCAGCGCCGTGGAGCTGTCACGTTTCGTGTACTACTCGCTGGACTGCTATGCGGCAGTTGGCCTCATCTTGGCCCTGGTGATTGCCAGCTGGGTGGCCCTCATAAGACGCTGTTGCGCCAAGCCAAGACCGGAGCAAAAGAACAAAAGGGATTAAATCGACTTAATCCTTGGCTTAGTCTATGTGATATTTTCGTTATGTGAACGTCTGTTAGTGTCCTATTTTAGTTTAGTGACTCCCGCTCCTAAAAATATAGATATAAAGAGAGTGTAGTTGGAAATATTGTGCTTATACTTTTAGCTTGTATCTAACGGATGTGAGATATGGGATATAAAGGAGAAATCTAAAAATTATCTAAAATACATATATACATTTATCACGTATAGACTGGAGTACTTGTCCAAAAAGAAACCTATGTTCAGTCGAAAGACAATATAAATGTTTAAATGACTTCATATAAATGTTTATATGACCATATATAAATTTATATCCACTTATAATTAAAGGTCCAAGTTTCTGGAGTATTTTCTTAGCTCTATAGCAAAAGCAATATTCAAAATTATTTAATTAATATTTATATTTTATGTAATTGAATCGAATTTAAGCATTAAAATGACTGCAGAAATAAATCTTTTGTCTCAGCGAAAGAGATTTATGTATGCGCCCTTTAACCAGTTGAGAATTTTAAGCGCAACAGTGTATAAAATAGTTTTTAGACATGCAAATTGTGTTCGCGTTTTGTTTATTATACATATCATCTCTTTAATTCGTTGTGTTGATTACCCCCAAACGGGATATGGGATATTTTTATAGATGCTCGAAAACTATTCTTAAAATGTTCGCTCAGTTGCGAAACGTTGCGTGGCCCAAACGGACGTCTTGTGCGGATTTTGCGAATATTATAAAAGTGCATTAGAAAAGTGCTCCCAGTTTTAATTATAGCCGTGCATCTATAGTTGACATTCCTCTAATCTATATGAGATACTTTGCATAGCTTTTGGTTTTTTAGGAAAATGCATTCAAATTGTGCTTGGAAATTGTTGCTGCTGTTTTCGCTGTTTTCCATGGACAGCTCAACGCACGCCCTGAAAATCTTGGGCCTCTTCCCGCATCCCGTCCTCAGTCATTTTAAGTTCTTTCAGCCTCTGATGCGGCGACTGGCCGAAACGGGCCACACTGTCGATGTGCTCAGTCCCTTTCCGGGTGCACAGCCGTCGACGCCGCCGACGACGGGCTATAAGAACTACGCCCTGCCCAGCGCCAACTTGAATGTTAAAATTGGCTTCGATGTGAGTGAATGTGAAGGGGGATTGAAATTTATCTATATCTAAATATATGCTGATTGACTGACAGACGATCAGGGAAGATCTCAATCTTTTACTAAAGCTTCCTTTTGGGTCGGGCCTTAGGATAATCAAAAAAATGGTCAGCGATTGTTAAAAGTGCGCCTTGGCGTCATAAATCTAACGTGCGAGAGATCGCCAGTTCAAAAGCACCATTAACTATTGCAAATGTTCATAAATAGGTATAAAAATCTGAGTATTCACCTTTGCCCGCAGCTGTTTGAGGAAGTTGCTATGCCCTATCTGATGCCCTTCAGCGAGTTCTTCATCCTGCATGCTTATGGCAAGGCTGCCTGTAATGCCACGCTTAATAGCGCGGCTCTCGCGCAGATACTCAGGCATCCGGCTGGCTACTATGACGTCATCGTTCTGGAGCAATTCAATACGGACTGCATGATGGGCGTGGCACATCAGCTGCAGTCGCCAGTTGTGGCCATGAGCAGCTGCGCCTTGATGCCCTGGCATTACGAGCGCATGGGCGCACCGATAATACCCTCCTATATGCCAGCTTTATTCGTGGGTGAGTCGCAGCACATGCACTTTGCTGGTCGCCTGGGCAATTGGTTGACCACGCACGCGCTCAATTGGCTCTATGGGTAAGCGGAAGCTGTTGCGGCTAACACAGATGACAAACTTTTGCTTTTTGGCCGCAGCTGGTACAGCGTGCCCGCTGCCGATGCGCTGCTGCGTCAGAGATTCGGAGCGGGCGTGCCCAGCACTGGGGAGCTGGTGAAGAACACTTCGCTTATGCTTGTCAATCAGCATTACTCGCTGAGCGGAGCCAAGCCGCTGCCGCCAAATGTCATCGAGGTGGGCGGACTGCATGTAAGCGAAGCCAAGCCTTTGGATGCTGCGCTGCAGCAGCTGATGGACAAGGCCAAGCATGGTGTCATCATCATCAGCTGGGGCTCCCAGCTGAGAGCCAATACGCTGTCGGGCGCCAAGCGCGAGGGCCTGCTGCGTGCCTTGGCGCGTCTGCCGCAGCAGATCATCTGGAAGTGGGAGAACGAGACGTTGCCCCAGCAACCAAGCAATGTGCACATCATGAAGTGGCTGCCGCAGCGCGATCTGCTGGCGCATCCCAATGTGCGGCTATTCTTCACACACGGCGGCTTGATGGGCATCACCGAGGCCGTTGCCAGCGGCGTGCCCATTGTGGGCATGCCAGTCTATGGCGATCAGCACATGAATGTGGCCGCCCTGGTGGAGCGTGGCATGGCGGTGCGCCTGGACTTTGAACGCCTACGCGAGCAGACGGTATTCGAGGCATTGTCTCTGGCGCTGGATGCCAAATACAAGCGGCAAGCCCAGCAGATTGCCGCCGCCTACAACGAGCGGCCGCAATTGGCCCTGGAGACCGCCCTGTGGTGGGTGCAACATGTGGCAGAGACACGCGGCGCACCGCTGCTGCAGTCCGGCGCGGTACGTCTCAATCGCTTCGTCTACTACTCGCTGGACGTCTACTTGGCCCTGGGCGGTGCTCTCCTGCTATTCCTGGCCATCGCCAGTGAAATCTGGCGACGTTGCTGCAAGCGCAAGCAGCCAGTGCCGAAGCCCAAGCGCAGCTAGAGTTGAATGGCTGCAACCGAAAATAAAATTATATACAGTGAAATGCTCCAACTAACGGAGAGCTTACTTGGCCAACAAATTTGTTCCCTCATCGGGCGGACGCTAGAATCCCCTTTAGAATCTTTCATAAACTGCAAAAAAAAGTTAATGGCATGAAGACGCTTTATCCAAAAATTGTGAAATATTTGTTCGTTTGCGACTTCTCCTAGCAGTCTCCTATGAATCTCGTTTATGTGTTATCTAATTTGATGTGTGAGCATAATTTAACCTGATGATCGCATCAATCAAATATATGTATTACTTGTTAACATAGATCTTTCTGTATGTTTTTTCCTGATTTTCTGAAACAGCTCTTTTAAACCTGGATGTCCGCCGTCATTAGCATGCATATACATTTACAATATGAAAAGCGTTTAAAGCTTGGCTTTCGTAGAGCCAGGAAAGCACAGACGATAGAGAGCAACCACGGCAGCGCCACCCAAGCCCACAGTATGCTGCAGCGCCAGCTCAGCGCCAGCCACCTGCCGCTTCTCGGCCAGGCCACGTAGCTGCCAGCAGAGCTCGGCGCACTGAGCCAAGCCTGTGGCGCCCAGCGGATGGCCCTTGGAGATGAGACCGCCACTGGGATTGATCACAAATTTGCCGCCATATGTGTTGTCGCCACGATCGATGAACTCGCCGGCCTTGCCCTCGCCACACAGGCCCAATGCCTCGTAGGTGACCAGCTCATTGGCCGAGAAGCAATCGTGCAGCTCCACGACCTGCACATCCTGCGGCTTGTAGCCGCTCTTGGCAAAGAGACGCTCCGAGGCAAGGCGAGTCATGTCGTAGCCAGCAATCTTCATTAAGCTCTTGTCTTCAAAGCTCGATTCCGTATCAGTAGCCATTTCCATGCCCACAATCTCCACGGCCTGTCTCTCCAGGCCATGACGACGCACGAACTGCTCGGAGGCCAAAATGGCAGCGCCAGCGCCATCCGAAGTGGGACAGCACTGCAGCTTGGTCAGCACGCCCGAGACCTGAGGTGAATTCATAATCTGCTCGAGCGTATATTCTTCACGGAATTGCGCATTGCTAAAACCAAAAAGAAGAGCGACAGATAGAGATAAGTGAATGGGTAGGCGAGGATGACAGCATGATAAGCCGTGGGATACATATTATAAGCTCGACTGGCTGATAGTCACATCCCAGATAACTTACGGATTATTGACCGAGTGCTTATGATTTTTCCACGCAATCTTTGCAAAGTGTTCCGGCTTTGAGCCGTACTTTTCCATGTGCTCTTTGCCCGCATTGGCAAAGAACTGCGCTGTTATTGGCTCATTACGGATTGCTGTTATCTTAGCCATTTCCGCGATGTGCCGCTCAAAGGGACTGGCACGATCAGAGTACTGACGGTTATAGGAATACATATAATCTGTCTAAGCCAAATAGAAATCCACCTACCTTCAACGACAACGAGCCACGCTCCATCTTCTCAAAGCCCAAGGCCAGCACACAGTCGGCATTGCCCGACTCCACGACCTGCTTGGCCAGATACACAGCAGTCGATCCTGTCGAGCCATTGTTATGCACATTGAACACAGGAATGCCTGTCAAGCCCACCTCATAGACCGCACGCTGGCCACAGGTGGAATCCCCGTAGACATAACCCACAACAGCCTGTTGCACCGCCTCGTACTTAATGTTGGCATCCTGCAGCGCCTTGTTGGCTGCTTCTTTGGCAAAGTCCGGATAGCAAAGGTTCGCGCGGCGGCCAGGTTTCATGAACTAAGAGTCAGAAGTGCTTAAAAGGCGAGCTTAAAAGTTAATTTTTGAATTCGTACCTTGGTTAAGCCAACGCCGATAACATATACACTTCTTTTCATCATTTTGTGGGGCTTCCGTTGTGGTCCGCGTCCAGAAAATAAATGTTCGAGGTAAAAATAAGAACGCGCTTGAAAACAACTGTTCGCGGCACAAATAACTGTGCGCTAAATTAACTGTTAAGCCTAGTTCAATTGAACAAGTTTTTTATGGAGCGCGCCTTTTGGTATTTTAGCTATCGAACGTTTGGTATTTTACTTATCGTAGTTTTAGTATTTATGCGTTTTGCACAATTATGTTCTTCAAATTTGGCTAGGCCAATAAATCTAGAATTTAAAATTGTTAAATTACGTTTTCAAGTTGTGAAAACCATAATAGAGTAGAACATTATTACAAATTCAAAATATAACCACAATGCGCTTAAAGAATATAAAATACAATGCAACATATATTAACAAAATCAAACAAATTATTTATAACTTTGCTTTAGTAGCGCCCGGGAAGCCCAGACGATAGAGAGCCACCACAACAGCACCACCCAGACCCAGGTTGTGCTGCAGGGCCAGCCGAGCGCCATCCACCTGCCGCTTCTCGGCCAGGCCACGCAGCTGCCAGCAGAGCTCGGCGCACTGAGCCAAGCCTGTGGCGCCCAGCGGATGGCCCTTGGAGATGAGACCGCCACTGGGATTGATCACAAATTTGCCGCCATAGGTGTTGTCGCCACGATCGATGAACTCGCCAGCTTTACCCTCGCCACAGAGACCCAAGGCCTCGTAGGTGACCAGCTCATTGGCCGAGAAGCAATCGTGCAGCTCCACGACCTGCACATCCTGTGGCTTGTAGCCGCTCTTGGCAAAGAGACGCTCCGAGGCCAGGCGAGTCATGTCGTAGCCAGCAATCTTGATTAGGCTCTTGTCGGCGAAGGTCGACTCCGGATCGCTAGCCATTTCCATGCCCACAATCTCCACGGCCTGCTTCTCCAGTCCATGACGACGCACAAACTGCTCGGAGGCCAGAATGGCGGCACCAGAGCCATCCGAAGTGGGACAGCACTGCAGCTTGGTCAGCACGCCCTCAACCACCTGCGGTGACTTCATAATCTGCTCCAGGGTGTATTCATCGCGGAACTGCGAGTATCTGGAGCAGCATACGAACAAACAAATATAAAGTCCGATTAAGATAAGAGCGAGTGCAGCGATCAACTGAATGGCCAATGTTCAAAGAGAGGATGGCCCCGCGCACGATAAGCGATAAGATAAGTGCTCCTACTTATTATGCGAACGAACTTTCGACTGGGCGGTAATCAATTCACCTAAAACTTACGGATTATTGACGGAGTGCTTGTGGTTCTTCCAGGCAATCTTGCCGAAATGTTCCGGCTTCGTGCCGTACTTCTTCATGTGCTCCTTGCCGGCATTACCGAAGATCTGGGCAGCCATTGGCCCGGCGCCGATTTCCGTCAGCTCACCCATTTCTGTGATGTGACGCTCCATGGGATTGGCACGGTCAAAGTACTAAAAGTAGAGATTGTTTATAAGCGAATATTTTGTGGGGTTCAAGGGCTGTGATAGCTACCTTCGAGGCCAACGAGCCACGCTCCATCTTTTCGAAGCCCAGAGCCAGCACGCAGTCTGCGTTGCCCGACTCGATGATCTGCTTGCCCAGGTACAAGGCACTCGAGCCCGTGGAACAGTTGTTGTTCACGTTGTAGACGGGAATGCCTGTCATGCCCACTTCGTAGACCGCACGCTGGCCGCAGGTGGAGTCGCCATAGACATAGCCGACAACAGCCTGTTGCACCTCCTCGTACTTAATGTTGGCATCCTGCAGCGCCTTGGTGACTGCCTCCTTGGCAAAGTCCGGATAACAGACGTCAGCGCGGCGACCAGGTTTCTCGAACTAAGGCAGATTTCAGATGTTACAGGTAAGATCAAAGGTCGCTTTCACAGTACGTACCTTGGTCATGCCAACGCCGATAACGTAAACTCTGGTCTTGGTCATTTTGTGGTGCTTCTGTTGTGGTCGGCGTCCAGAAAACAAGTGTTTGGTGGACTTGCAACCGGTCGCGAGTTTACCTTTGCCTTTGCTGAATCAGTTCAATTGAAATGCGCCTCCATTTTGAGCAAGTTCAAATTACAAGTTCCGAACCAGTTCAATTGAGAGGCCCCCATTTTACTTGCTTGATATTTTGGTTTTAGTATTAAAGTGTTCTCTGGGTTTTCCTGGCCCACAAATAGCTGGTCACACAAAATTCAATTTTACTGGCATGCCGCTTCGTATTCCTCGTCAGCTTCAGAAAGTTACAGACTGTCCCAGGTGCAGCAATTAAAATATCATTCGGAGAAATTCACAAGAGAATATTCAAATAATTGAAGATGTACTACTAAATTACTAAATGTGTAGCCTTACCTATTTATGATTGTGGCCAAAAGCTACAGAGGTCCGGTGTTTGCGCAAGAAGTTGATTTGATGCTTCTGGTGTGAGTATACTTTAAATTAAATAAAAGCATATGGATTTTGAGTATAGCCATGCGAACATACCTTTTTGTACATGTCCTAAAGTGAAATTAATTTTTCTAGAATTTTGCAAGCTACTGTCGTTAGTTTAGTCTTCCACGGGGAAGCAGACTCAGTGATGTGAAACGTTGCATAAAAGTATCGATTGTTGTTATCGATGGTTTCTCGTTTCGATAGCGATACTTGTTTTGTGGGCCTTAACTAGATTTCAGTAATTGATTAAAGCCGAGCCGTTGCGGTTGCACTTGTTTTTGTCCATCGAAATAACGTATTAGCAACAAAATGACCAAAACCCGAGTTTATGTTGTTGGTGTTGGCATGACAAAGGTAAAAAAAAAACACGAAAACGCAAGCATGTAAATATGTAGACACCGTTGCAACAAAGGAAAAGCTGAGGCTGCCACAAGTTGCTTCATGCACTTCGCAACAATTATCGCACTCGGACTTTGAACTACGGCGCACTTCAATCTCTCTACGAAAGTAGAAATCTTGTTGCTGCGTAATCTAAATCTCCGATTAAATACTCTGGACATAAACATTAGCATTTGTAATTAATAAAATTGACCTTTCCCCCAGTTCGAGAAACCTGGTCGCCGCGCTGACGTCTGTTATCCGGACTTTGCCAAGGAGGCAGTCACCAAGGCGCTACAGGATGCCAAACTGCAGTACACGGATGTGCAACAGGCTGTTGTCGGCTATGTCTATGGCGACTCCACCTGCGGCCAGCGTGCGGTCTATGAAGTGGGCATGACAGGCATTCCCGTCTACAACGTGAACAACAACTGTTCCACGGGCTCGAGTGCCTTGTACCTGGGCAAGCAGATCATCGAGGCGGGCAGCGCAGACTGCGTGCTGGCTCTGGGCTTTGAGAAAATGGAGCGCGGCTCGTTATCATCAAAGGTATGCTGAAATCTATATTGGACTTGGCTTCAAGTGCTTACCAAAATTCTCTTCATTGTTAGTACTTTGACCGTGCCAATCCCATGGAGCGCCACATCACAGAAATGGGTGCGCTGACGGAAATCGGTCCCGGTCCGATGGCTGCCCAGATCTTCGGAAATGCCGGCAAGGAGCACATGAAGAAGTACGGCACGAAGCCGGAACATTTCGGCAAGATCGCCTGGAAGAACCACAAGCACTCCGTCAATAATCCGTAAGTGCAATTACCAATTGCTATAGATCCATATCTAATCTCTTTTGTGATTAGCTACTCGCAGTTCCGCGATGAATACACCCTGGAGCAGATTATGAAGTCGCCGCAGGTGGTTGAGGGCGTGCTGACCAAGCTGCAGTGCTGTCCCACCTCAGATGGCTCTGGTGCCGCCATTCTGGCCTCCGAGCAGTTTGTGCGTCGTCATGGACTGGAGAAGCAGGCCGTGGAGATTGTGAACATGGAAATGGCTAGCGATCCGGAGTCGACCTTCGCCGATAAGAGCCTCATCAAGATTGCTGGCTACGACATGACTCGCCTTGCCTCGGAGCGCCTGTTCGCCAAGAGCGGCTACAAGCCACAGGATGTGCAGGTCGTGGAGCTGCACGATTGCTTCTCGGCCAATGAGCTGGTCACCTACGAGGCCTTGGGTCTCTGTGGCGAGGGTAAAGCTGGCGAGTTCATCGATCGTGGCGACAACACGTATGGCGGCAAATTTGTGATCAATCCCAGTGGCGGTCTCATCTCCAAGGGTCATCCGCTGGGCGCCACAGGCTTGGCCCAATGCGCCGAGCTCTGCTGGCAGCTGCGTGGCCTGGCCGAGAAGCGCCAGGTGCCCAATGTGCAGCTGGCCCTGCAGCACAATCTGGGTCTTGGTGGTGCTGTGGTGGTGGCACTCTATCGCCTGGGTTTTCCAGGTGCGAGCAGCGTCAAGCACAATTTGACTGGCGCAAAGTCGGCGACTAGTGAGGAGGGCTTCAAAGTGTCGCCGTTGCTGAAGCTGCTCGAGCAGGCCATGCAGGAGGACAATGACAATCTGATTGAGAAGGTCCGCGCTGTGTATGGCTTTAAGGTCAACAATGGACCCCAAGGCCAGACGGGCTACTGGGTAATTGATGCCAAGCAGGGCAAGGGCAAGGTCACCTTCAATGGCACACGTAAGTGAGAAACATCCAAGGAACTGGGAATCTATAATTATTTAATCCACTTGCATTGCAGAAAAATGTGATGTGACCTTCATAATCAGCGACGATGATGTGTTTGACCTGCTGACGGGCAAGCTGCCGCCGCAGAAGGCCTTCTTCCAGGGCAAGATCAAAATACAGGGCAACATGGGCTTCGCCATGAAGCTGATGGACTTGCAGCGCTCAGCGCAGGGTCGCATCGAGGAGCTGCGCTCCAAGCTTTAAATATTCCAAGCATTCCCTCTGGCATTTGCTATCTATCCTTGGTTGGGTTTACTTAAACGTAGCTTAAATATGGTTTATATATATAACATATATATATTTTTGATTCTTATGTATTATTTTGTAGCTAATAAATATTTGATTTTTATATTATTATCAAATTGTCATTACTTTGTTATGCTTTGACGAGGCTAATGTTCCACGAAAATCGGACTTTATATATTCGAGTTGTTAAAATAAAGTTTTAAATAAAGATATGCCAATTCCAATCTATTCCATTAATCTAATCTGGAGTTGGACGAGTCTGAAATTCCAGATTGGATTGATCAAATAGATTGGAATCAAAAAATTTTGATTTCAGAATTAATCCCATATTTGCAGCAATTGTCAGCTTTAATTTAATATATTAATATTATATTTTTTAAATGCCAATCGAGGGTTGAGTGTAGAAAATTTGGCTTTGTTTCGAGATATTTGAAATCGAAGATTTTTCAAAAATCTTCAAATCAAAAAAACAAAGGTTAATTTTTCTTAGTTGGAAGGACACACTGATTGTCCTCGCATTGGTCAAGTTAAGGACGATTTCGTTAATCATATTAAATATATATATTTATATTATATTATATATAATTATATTATATATATTTGTATATATTTATATTTATATTATATTATATATATATTATATATATTTATATTTATATTATATTATATATATATATTATATATATTTATATTTATATTATATTATATATATATATTATATATATTTATATTTATATTATATTATATATATTATATTATATATATTCACGTTATTTATATTATATATATTTATGTTATATATATTATATATTATAAAAATTGATTTTATATCGGCTTTTTAAACCTCTGGAACAGATTTAATCCATTTTATTGTCAAATCATTTGATTTATTTATTTTTCTTCTGACCATATTAAAGATGCTTTTTCACTTGCATTTTTGTACGATCCGAATCTTTATTGTTTCTTCAACGTGCATTGGCTTTTAAGTCTACATTTATATATGTGTGGTATATATATATATATATATATATCATAGTTATTGACATATGCATGTGTGTGAGTGTGTGTGTGTTGTTGTGTATCTGTGTGCTTTGAACAACACTTTTCCAAAAAGTCGTTAGGAAAAAGTCGCAAAATTAAATAGATTAATAACTGGGCGCATTTTGCACTTTAGTTTGACTTGTAAAAAATACGGGGCCAATATACAGATTTATATATAACCATTTATATATGTGTATATATGTATATATAAATTTTACGCGCTTATTAAAGTATCTCAAAGTTCTTCTAACAGTTGCCAATGTTAGTGTGTGTGTGTGTGTGTGTGTGTGTATCTTAAAGTGCCTGCGGTAATAAATTAAAAAACTACATGTCTAAAAGTATTTTTGTTTTAGCATTTTTGAGCTTAATTAACTACAGTTATCAAATATAATATTTGAGGTCGTGGCGGGCTAATATCACCCCGCCCCTCCCCCTTTTGCTATATACAATAAACGATATTCGGGCCAAACTCTGAAAGCGCGCGCTTGCGTTAGACGCCAACAACGTGGCCTCCGTCAAGTGGCCAAATCGAAACAATTTACAGAAAAGAAAAAAAAATAAACAATTTGCAACAATACCTCTTTTTTTTCTCTTGCCTATGTACTGCAATTATTGGTAGAAGCCTCTGGGCTGCTGGCAGTGCACTCTCAGTAGCTATTGTTGGAGCTGGCGTAGGAGGACAGCGAGGAGTTCGCTTTGGTTGCCGTGCTGCTGCTGCTGCTGCTGCCGGCGTGGGCAGGGCTTGCTGCTGAGGCCGCGTTGCCTGAGCTGGAGGAGGAGGAGGAGCTGGTGATACTGGGCTTATTGTCCATGCTGGCCATTATGGAGCCGAGCAGATCGACTGGAGTCACGGCTGTGGCCTTGGCTGCAGCTCGGCTGCCGGTCAAAATGATCTTGTGCGAGGGCAAATTGAACGTTTTGTAGGTGGTGCTGCTGGTGCTGGTGGCTGTTGTTGTTGTTGTTATTGTTGCTGTTGTTCCTGTGCTTGGTTTCTGGCTGTTGTGACTCTTGGCTGGCGTTGGTGGCGGCGGCGGCGGCGGTGGCAATGGCATTGGCGGCAAAGGCGGCGTCAGCACCACAGCCGAGAGGCGACCCACGAGCGGTTTCAGCGTTGCTGCAGCGGGCAGCACAACTTTAACAACTTGTGGCGGGGGGGCAGCTGCTGGCAAGGGTGGCT